TTTGAAGTGAAAGTAACCGAGAGGAAGCAGATAGAAGGAAAGCTCTCTGCCCTAAAAGCAGGACGCACATTTACAGAGGTTCCCCGCTCTCTCCTCTACAGGGAAGGACAGAGGTCGATCGCCGGAGACGGCCTGAGACCCTGTCGGCCTGGACCCTATGGCACCCGAGGACCCAGCGTAACAGTGACTGGCTCTTCTCTACCACGAGTTTCCTTTCATTTGTTACCGACCGGCTCTGCCGACCTCGGGTGCCCAACCTGCTTTCCTTTGTCCTGTCACTTCCCCGCAAAATTAGTCTTTGTGGAAAGGACTGTGCCCTAGACAGCTGCGGAGACGTGACCCACTCATGCAACGGAGGGAGTTGCCCAGAAAGAAGGGGAAAGCCTGTTTCACCCAGGGACAGCCGGGCGGCCGACGCGAGCAGCCTCCGGGGGCCACGAGGCTCCGGGCCGCACACTCAGGGTCACGGGGGAAGGGACACCGTCTCGTCCAGCTCGACCAAGAGTGAAACAGACAAAAACACCTTCAAGATATTCTCGTAACATCCTTCCCACATGTTCTGGTTTTAGGCATTAAATCTGACCCTCTGAAGGGTAACCCAGTGGTCCCAAGACACTAGATTATTTTAACTGTGTTCTTAGAGAAAAACATTTTGAGACTCCTTCCCCCTCAGCTTTAACACCACGTGGGGATGCTTCCGTCCTGACTTGACTTTCCTCCACCTACCTCTGGACGGGACTGTTACATGGCTCCCTCCCTCTCCGAGCCAGAGGGGTTTCGGATGTGGCCTCGGGGGGAGGTGGTTTGAGAAAAGGACAGCGAGCTGTGGAGTGGCCCTGACATCAGCGAGCCTTTGTTGGGTCATCAGAATGCCCCGCCCTCCACCTGGCACCCAGGCCCCGAGCCAGCGCCCTGTGCCCCTGGCTCCTGCCTGGGTGCGGAGAGGCCAGTGCCAATGAACCGGGCGTGGATCCTGACCTCAGCGACCGCGATGTCTACAGGAGAAAATGACCCTGATGACACAGCAGACACATCACATTAAAAGGCCATAACGCTGCCGGGAGTCGGTACTTGAGAGAGAGGCTGGGAGGCTGCACGGAGCGGTCAGCGAGCTGTGAGCAGGGAGGACCGCTGAGCGGGGTGGTCCCCGCCAGGGTGCCGTGAGGAGCTCTGGGCGCGGTGCGGGCCAGCGGTTCTCAGCCAAGTCTGATTTTGCCGTCTCCCCCACCCAGCTCACGTCTGGAGACATCTGCGTCTCCCAAGCTGGGAGGGGGGCTATCGGCATCTGGGGGCAGGGTCAGGGCGCCGCTCATCCCACGCGCTCAACAGAAAAGCGCCTGGCCCCAAATGCTGACACTGCGGAGGCCCAGAGGGGGAAGGGTACAGAGGGGTGGGGACCCCTTTGTCCGCCATGGCCAAGGTCACGGTGGGAAATAGGAACCGTAAAGCAGGACTTTCTCCCCTACGAGCAATCAGACGCCAGCTCAGACGCAACCAAGCAGTGTTTTCACCCGGAGATCTGCAGCGGTTTCCTCACTGACGCCCCATCGTGGCCCAGCACGCTTAGGAAGGGCCTCCGCCGAGGCTTCCCCGGGAGTCTGATTCCAGACTGTGCGTCAAGAACCTTCAAAGGGCCAAAACTCTCAGGTCGAAACATTGCGCTTCAAGGATTTTTTTGAAAAGGAAATAACCAGCGTGCGGAAAAGCCTCACGCGCCGAGTCTTCCCGTCACTGCCGGCCCGGAAAGTGGAAACTTAGTAACAACTCTAAGGACCAAGGATGAAGAGACAGTTAAGCTTTGATATGTTTATAAAGCACATCGTTCCGTAGTCAGTAAAAGTTATCTCTGCAAAGTACTGTTAATATCAGGAAATATTTATGATCTGGTGCCAAGTGGCCGAGGCCCAGAGGGAAATTACATATGCAGCTGGGTCTCGACTATTTAAAAAAGAAATCGGCGTGCGTAGAAAGAGGATGGAAGAAAACGCACTGAGGTATTAACCACTCGACGGCCACATGGACGTGGTCAGATCATTTGACCTTCAGGCCTTGTCTGTCTTTCCTACGAAGCAGGGTTAACGATACTCCGTCCACAGGATGGTTTGAATGGCTGGAAGTAATGGATCCATGGGTTCGGCACGTCGGGTTTTCACAGCGTATGTCATCGACGGGATGGTGATGGCGAAGGTGGCGACAGTGGCAGCAAGATGGTGAACTTCCTCCTTCTGGTGGGCGCGGAGGCCTGTGCCATGCGCACCCAGCAGGTGCCGGCACGACACTGACTGACCTCGGGGCGTCCGGAGTAAACATACAGGGCCCGAGGGGACGAGCAAAGAGGGAGCCGGCTCCTAAGCCCTGACCCCCCAAGAGGAGAACGGGTTCCCCGGGCCGGTTAGCACCCAGGAGACCCCGCCCGTCCGACGACACAGAGCTTCTGTAGGTCTCCCTTGTCCCCTAACCCAGCAACCTCCCTGGGAACATGTCCTGGAGATGCATCCAGGAACACAGTGTGTGGACTTTCTGTCTGACGAGCTCCCGGCCAGAACGCAAACTGGCCTGTGCCCTTGGAGCGCGGCCCAGGCTGCCCTCACTGCGCTGGGCGTCGGTAGGTGGGCTGGGAGGATCTGCCCAGCGGCATGTGAAAGTCCTTCCGACGAGAGGAATCGGGCTGGTAACAAGTCTGGGGGCCGACACCAACTCGGGCAGCCACGGGGAGCGGTCAAGACCGCCGCAGGCAAGGGGCCCGTTTCCGACAGAAAAACGCAGCAGCTCTCGAGTTTTGATGAGCGTTGCCACCATCGGAAACCGCCTGCATTCGGGCTAAAAGGCTTTGTCAAGACGGAAGGTGGGTGAGCCGGCCCCCGAAGTGTCACGTGGATTACACTGGGATGGGCACCGGAGTTAGAGGGCGTGCGCCGAGCTTAGACATGTCAGGCCAGAATTCTACAGCGCGGACGCGAAGGGCTGTCCTGTGCCCGGGAAGAAACACGCTCCACTGCAAATTAGTGCTGAAGGAGGGAGCACGGAGGTACAGGGGTGTGTGTGTGTGTGCGTGTGCGTGTGTGTGCATGTATGTGCGCACGTGTGCATGTGTGTGTGAGTGTGCGTGCGTGTACACAAACATTTGTGTGTACAGGGGTGGGCAAAAGTAGGTTTACAGCTGTGAGACGTGAAAGGGAGTTTATTCTTGTAGCGTCATTTATTACTGATTACATTATTTTCCATACAAACAACCTCCTTTTGCCCCACCTTGTATCTGAGGCCTGTATCCCAAACGGCGAGTGAGCCCAAGGATCTGGGGCTTTGAACTTCAGGTCGGAGGGAGTCACACGGAACCTCTTTCCCTCACACATTTCCCTTCAGGCAAATAGAGCAGAAATCCCTCCAGGCTCAAAGGGCCCTTTGAGAACACGCAGGCCACCCCGTCCAGTCACCCAGAGGAGGAGACATCTCGGAGGGTTCGTGCCGCTTGGCCCCCATCCCTGCGCTAGGCAAGAACCGATCAGATCAGCAGCTCAAAAAAAAGGTGGCCTGGCCTCCGTGGAGCTCTCCCCCCCGAGGGCCGATCAAGGCCAAGGACTCCGAGCCACTGAAAGGCGCCCGTGTGGACCCAGGACAGAGAGCTCTTCCGGGGGGTCGGCTGAGGGGTGCGCAACAAACTCAGAGCCTAAGAAAGTCGGTCACAGAGGCATCACGTCAGTCACGGGCCAAACCCCTGGTGACTTTTAAAGCTCCTTTGGTGAAAGTGCCATAAACCCAGAGCACGAGACATACGGCAAGGCTGCGCTCCGAGCCCATCCAGCCTGCCCTTGGCACAGCCTGCAGGTCATGCGTTTCCGGAACCTTCCCCAACAAGGCACAGGAAGCGCAGGCCTCAGCCATCCCCTGACCCCTGACGGGGGGCCCGTCCTGGCTGCGCCCGCTCCGGCTCAGGCATCGACAGCGAGGCCCGCCTGGGAGCCCGTTGCAGCCTCAGAATCTCTGAGCCTTCATCAGACACACACTTGTCATATTAATTACACCCTTTAATGTTTCTACACAGATTACAGCTTCAAAATGTTTCACAGTTATTTTTGTTAATTAACAAAGCGTTAATGGATGGAAATGGCACCGTAAAATTACCACGCGCACGCTGCGTTTTCGATTTTACTACTATTATCTTTAAATATTTCCCCCAAGTGGAACGTCGCTCATTCATACACCAGAGTCTCAGGCAGAGGAAAGCAGAACGTCGGAAGTTTGCACCGAGAGAGAAAGAGCTCAGGCCTCCAGCTGAGGCCTCATTTCCTCCCCAACCTCCCAGAGAGCCGAGGGCGCCCAGCGGGCCCTGGGGACTCTGCCTGCCCCGGTGACACGGAAACTGCAGCCCCAGGAAACATGGCCAAGGAAACCGAAAACTCTGCTGCTGTCCGGCATGGAGAGGCCCCACATTCGCTTCCTCTTGAAAATGTCCTGTAATTACCATGTGCACACATTCACACACACACGCACACACTTTCTCTCTCCCTCTCTCTCTCGGAGCCAATCCACAAGTATCAACGATCTGATGGAACAGTGGGGGGGCAGCCCTCGGGCACCTCCAGATGTGCAGACACTGGGAGCAGAGAGACAAACCCTCTGGAGGTGGGCGGCACCCTGTTCTCCTCGCCCTGCTCTGGAACAACACAGGCCAACACTAACACTTACGTGACTTGGGGCCATAGTTTCCTACTCACTGCACACGGCCTGGAAGCTCTGTTGGAAACAGAGCTGGGAGGGACGGTCTCTTAACCCACAGGAGCCTCCTCTAAGGAAACGCATCCAGCGCAGACCCCGCGCCGAGCTGCCCATCGCGGCCTCGGAGCCCAGCAGGTGTGGCAGCCCCGCGAAGAACGGCTCCTTGGAGCGAGCGACAGAGAAGAAACTCGCTGTCCACCCGGCCTGGTGGTCACACTGAGCCCCTGACCCACAGGGAGGGGTCTGTGCCGTGGCCCCGCCCCGGGGATGGGACCCTCACTCACCTGCCCTGTAGCTCCAGCCGGGAATGTGAATGGACAGTTGGTTGGCGTGAGCGCTGGAGTGACAGCCAGTTGTGTGGTCCCCCTTCCCTTTCCTGACAGTGATCTGCCGCGTTCCTACGTCTGCGAGTTCTGTATTTTCCAAGGGAGGGGAGCCACTCCAAGGACACGTGCCAGTCCCCAAATGCACCTGCTCCAGGGATGGGTGCATGGCCTGGGCCCAGCGCGGGCCCAGGAGGCCAGCGCCCCCCTCGGTGAGCTGGGGCTTTGGGGCGCCGCCGATTGGCCCTCCGTTGGCTGTGCCGTCTGCCCCATCTGGTGTCAATCTGTGTGAACTGCAATTTAGGTTGAGCGACAGGACCGATCTGTGCACTTTGGGGCGGGCCAGCTGAGTTGGCTCCATAGGGACCGCGAGGGACCCGTCTAGGTAGTAGATGGCATTTGGACACGGCCGAGACACCCTGAGGTGGATGCAGGAGCTGAACAGCAGCGGGCTCTTTCCCGACGGGGGGGCGCCTGGGGAGAGCTTGTCCTGTCCGTGGTCTACGCTGGTGACCCAGTACTGGTGTCCCTCACACAGCCGTGCGTCGGCCTCCGGGAACTTCAGCCTCATCACGGAGCCATTTCTGGAGGATTCTGCGCAGGCGAAAGGTCCATGGTGCCGACACGGATCAGCACCGCTGGCCAGAGCAGAGGGGTCCCTGAGCAGAGGGGCCTGGGACCTGCACTGGGTGCACGGCGGGTCCCCCACGGTTCCCCACACCAGGGTGCTGGCCGGGGGGCCCACGCGCCTGGCCGTGATGGTGATGGACGCAAACCCCTTTTGGGGGCTGCCGCACGGCTTCTCCTCTTTGGGGGCCAGCTCAGTCTCGGGTCCTCGCACCCCGGCCGGTGTCTGAAGTCCCAGCTGGCCGGGAAGGAACGCAAAGGCCCTGTCAATGGAGACTCCACTGCGGCTGGCCAGAGACCGCTTCAGGGGCCACGTGGGAGGCCGAGGGTCGGCGCACAGCCCCCGCACGGTGGCACTGTTTTCCTTCGGCCTATTCTCGTTGATCAGCTGCGAAATCACTAAGGATGAAATCATTTTCGTGTTTTGTGAAGCCAGAGTGTCCTGCAAATGGAAAAAGATCACAATTACTCACGCAGCCAATTGTAGCGCGGTCGGCACACCCTCCGAGGGCCCTCAGGGTGCTGTGCCCAGCGCTCGTCTGAGCCTTTTACCCCACGCCCAACACCAGCCCCCGAGCATCCGCCCAGATCTGCGTGGGCTGATTGCCGTGTGGGAAGCATCCCTCTGACGGGAATCGGTCTTCTCGGCTGGGTGTCTGCTCTTGGCTTATTTAACGGTGTTTGTGGGAGGGGAGCAGGGATTTCTGTAATCACCTCCCCCAGGCCCAGGAGCACCCGGTGCAGGCTCCCGGCCTCACGGGGAGGGAGGGCAGATTTCTGGAGGACACTTGGGTTCGGGGCACAGGTTCACGTGGAGATGAATTGGCTGGAGACGAGGCGGCATCCGTCCATGAGCAGATGTGAGTGTGAGGAAATCCCCCCCGGCCTCCATCCCCCGCTCCCTTTGCTGGTTTAGACGGAATCCAGTCCCTCCCCATGGCTGGTGTCACGGGGTCAGATCTGAGAGAGCAAAACAATGGTTGTCAAAGGCTCAAGCTTGACACCGGCCCAGACTGACACAGTGGCCCCGATAATCACCTCTCGGAATGGGGTGGATGGGTTTGGACCAACACAGGTGCAGTTTTGCTGCATTTCAATGTCCAGCTGCATACTCAGGGTTTCTGTCCATCCGAGGACTGAGGGGTCTCGTGTCTCATGTGCTCTAACAATCGCCAGTGTCCCCAAAACATGAGCTGAGGTTTTTAACACCGTGCCAACCAGGCTGGGACAGGAGGAAGGCCTCTCGAGCCCTTGCTGTCGTCACTGTGTGCATGGGGGAAGCGTTGCAGAAACTGCACGGAGACCGGACAGACCCAGCCCTCGCTCCGCTCCGTGCGCAGGGTCCCAAGCCCCCACCTGGATGTCCATGATTCTAGGGCCTAAAACCCCTGCATGGAGCCACACAGGATCCAAAATGACATCGGCAGCCGCCGCTGGGCCTGGCAGGTGCCACTGTGACTCGGACGCCGTCAGAGGTGAGCAGGGAAGGGAAGGGCAATCCCGACGGGCGTGAGTTTGAGTTTATCTGAAGCTGTGGAGTTGCTGAGCGCGGCACTACTCTCGGGGGAGAAATGCCGATGGAAGCCCAGCCCCAGAGGAAATCGATTCGCCTTTTCTACCTCGCAGGGAAGTCGAGGTGGAGATGAAAAATGACCATGGTGTGGAAGACCCTCTCCCAGCCTGCGCACGCGGCGGAGCCCCGGGTGCGGCGCCCTGAGAGCCGGCAGAGGCCCGCGGTGTCTGGCAGCCTGGCCCGCGCGGCAACGAAGGGCTGTTACATCAGGCGTCCGCCAGTGCTCGCTGGAATGTGTAATGCGGGCATTTGGGTTGATTTCAATCGTCTAAATGGAAAATAACCCACGACACACCTGATGCCCTGACATTCTGTTGATGTGGAAATAGAATGGATGGAACATTTTTAGACGTGAATCCTGTTATTCGTAACAGGGTCACGATCGAACCACTTCTTTATTCATTCATCAGGCGGCTGCTTATTGAGCACCTGCTATGTGCCGGGCTCTGTGCTGAGGCAACTTCCCGGCTGCCTGGAGCGAGCAGACGGGAGATAACCGCAGGCAGGTACCGAGTGACCAGGACGGATTTAGCAGGTAAAATCCTCCTGTGATTTTTCAGGTGTGTAGACTCAGCCCTGACAAAAAGCCCAACCAACAAACTGAGGGGAAGTAGGAAGAANGGCCCTGACAAAAGGCCCAACCAACAAACTGAGGGGAAGTAGGAAGAAAACGCCGCATCCTTTGCTCTTCTTGTCTGGGAAGTTCTATTGACCAAACCCTGTTTTCTCACCGAGACCAGGAGATAACTCGAGAGCAGGTCCGGCCTCTCGGCGGCCAGCGTGTCCGCTAGGGCTGCAGTAACAAGGAGCCACGGGCTGGGTGCTGTAAGCAGCAGAACCCATTTCCCACAATTCCGGAGGCCGGAAGGCCAAGGTCAAGGTGTCGACAGGGTCCGTTCCTCCTGAGTCGTCTTCTCGAGGCTGGTCGACGGCCGTCCTTTCCCTCGGTCCTCACTGCTCTTCCTCTGTGCGTATCTGTGTCTTAATCTCTTCTTATAGGGACACCAGTCACACTGGATCACGACCCACCCTGGTGACCTCACTTAACCTTAATTACCATCTCCACATACGGTCACATTCTGAGGTCCTGGGGGGTTAAGATTTCAATGTATAAATTTTGGGGGACACAGTGTAGCCCATAGCAGACTCTAACACATCACTTTGTGTCCAGTTCTTCTTACGGGGCTGGGAAACCAAGAAAGAGATGTGACAGAGGGGATGTTTGATGTCCCTAAGTCAGGCTGCTGCTTTTAAAACAAGGCAGATTTCCCATAAAAGGCAATCACACCTTTTACATCAAATATCTTCCCCAATTAAGGGATTCTGGTGTGTTATCCCATCTGTCCTTTATACTGGGCTAACTGAACATGGCTTTGAAAAAAGATACCTTTCATCTAAAATAAAATGAACTGATTGGAAGGTTTAGCTCAAAAGGAAGAAAATAATCTTGTATTTAGAGTAGGATGCTCAAGGTCAGAGAGAGGTCAAACGAAGCGTTGGATGTGGCTTCTTGCTTGGCTGGTAAATTCTCCCCGTTCCCGGCCGGCGCCACACACCCACGCGGGCCCATTTTCTCATAAATGCCGCTTGAAGATACAGATTCCTTTTCAATGTCTCAGACGTGATTCTGCAGAGCTGGCAACAGCTCTCCTAGCTTAATACACTCTATTGACTGTTCCTAACTTTCTGTTTGTGCCTCAGGCTTATTACGAAGAAGGGCGCCGTTTCATAAGCCGACGTAGGAATAGATAGCAGCCGACCGTCGGGGACAGCAGGTCCTGAGCCACCGGAGTGAGGGCCCTTCCATTTCTGTAGCAGTTTATTTCTCCAGTGGGTAAGCACCTAATCGAATCTATAAGCTCTGACATCTATGTTTCCTCGGGGGACAATTCCCTCCCTTTCCACAGCCGCTCTGCAACCCACAGCTCCCCTTGCCGGGCGGAGCCTGCGGCCCCTCTCCCCACGTACACCGTGGCCACCCCCCCCCAGCTGCAAGCCTGTGGACTCCCGCGCACCCCGGGGTCATCCCGCAGCCTGTGGCCTCTCATCCCGACGGCGAGAGCGTCTCCAAACGCACGCGTTCACTCTGGTCTGTAGCAATAGGAGAGGAGGGTTTAGGACCAATGGGGAAACTGGAGATTTCCTCCCTCCCCACCCAGAAACTTCCGTCTTTCCAGAATTTACTAGAAACCAGCGGGTTGGCTGCCGTGTAACGTAAAACCGCGGCACGCCGGCAAGAATGGAAGCGCTTTTCGAAAGGGGAATGGCGGGTCGACCACGGCCGGCAGAGATGCATCGTCACCTTCTGCAGAAATTACAATAAAAAGATTGCTGAGTTTAAACGGCACTGGGACGTGCCTGCGACGGAAGGTTATCTATACGATCAAACGGCCAGAAGGGCCGTGGGTGCCACAGTCACGGGAAAGGGTGCGCGCCCGAGCTAAGGGGATAAGTAGGTACGAATGCTCCCTATTTACACATTTCTGCATTTTCCTAAGCGTCTACACAGAGTTGCCACGGCCTTTGTTATAAGGAAGTTTAAACATCATGTTTTGAAAGAAGAAAACTCGGGCCGTATGTCCTTCTTTTTAAACCATTGCTGGGCCGAGGAAGCTCCTGCCCGTCGCTTCTGCAGCTTCGACAGATTTTTGGGAAGTAAAAGCGATCTTGGGCCGACTCCGGGAGGGAGGCAGGATTACGGCCAGTGCGACAGGAGGACACCTGCTGGGCGTGTGCGTCATCTGATGGACACACAGGGACAGGCTTCGGCAGCTCAGAGGGAGGAGGGAAACCTGAAAGTCCCACGACTGCTATGACCAGATCCGCTGATCAGGGTCATTCCAAAGCGG